GGGAGGAGGAGGAGGAGGAGGAGGAGGAGGAGGAGGAGGAGGATGACTGTGGGGTCCTAAGCTTGCTTGTTTTCTTGCAGACGTTTCATTACCCTAACTAGGTAACCTCATCAGTGCTAGTAAGGAGTGTGGTTTGCTGTCAGTTTACATTCTGCTGTCTTGCTTGCTGACAATCAACAATCAAATAAGCAATACCCCAATCAAGAAACTGCCAAAGAGCCATTAGTTAACAACCCAACCAAAGAATCCCTAAGATCGCCCCCACCCACACAGATGCACCCCCATTTTATGATCTTTCTTGCCACAGTGCTTAAGAGAATGACTGCAGCTGTTAAGCGAGCAACACAGTTGTTAAGTGAATCGGGCTTCCCCGTTGACTTTGCTCGTCAAAAGGTCGCAAAAGACCTGCTAGCTAGCCTGGGACACTGCAGCCGTCATAAACACGGTAGGAGCCAATTGCCAAGCGTCCAAATTTGGATTGCATGACCACGGGCATGCTGCAACGGTTGTTAAGTGTGAAAAACAATCAAAAGTCACTTTTTTTCAGTGGTGTAAACTTTGAAAGGTCACTAAATGAATTGTTGTGAGTAGTTGTAACATGGTTGTCTGATCATATAGCCATTTCTTTATCACATGTCCTCCCCTAGCTCTTTCATAAGAGGAGGAACAAATTAATGGTCAACATGGCTACCTCCAAAAAGACATCAGGCATTTTGTGTTTTCCCCCTGCAAAGGTATATAGCAATAGCACTTAGACTTCTATACCGCTTCACGGTGCTTTACAGCCCTCTCTAAGAAGTTTACAGAATCAGCCTGTTGCCCCCCAACAATCTGGGTCCTTATTTTACCCACCTCAGAAGGATGGAAGGCTGAGTCAACTTTGAGCCGGTCAGGATCGAACTGTTCTATCCCAGCCTACTTCACAAAGACAACCCCTCTTTTAACAGTAGACTGGAAAATAAACCCTTTTTATTTGAGTTACAGACCTGATAATTGTCCCAGAAAACAAAAGCAACCGAACACTTTTCCAATGGAGACCTTGTCCAAAAGCAAAACGGAGCACGAGTCAAACAGGAAATAACTCACAGGCAAAATAAACAGACCATGATCTCTTGAGACTGAAGTTCTTTCCAAATGGTTGCCTCCAGCAACCAGCCCTGCTCACACATTCCCTTTTTGTTACGCAGCCCCCAAGTGGCTTCTCACTGCTTTCTCCTCCTCCCCTGGAGTTGCCCCATTACCTCCCTCTGTCCTACTCATGTGATCTGTCTACCATTACGAGCGTCTCTGAGGTCTTCCAGCTGTGCTTCCTCTGAGTCTGACTCAGCTTCCCAGCACAGCTGGCTCTCAGCTTAATCACGAGTGGAAGGACCAGCCTCTTCATTAGTTTGTAAGTCCTGCAGCTCATCAGAGCCTCCCTCCGACTCTGATGGCTCTCCATGCCCGTCCTCCTCCTCCTCCTCCAATTCCCCAGATTCAACTACCGGGATCACAGGCTGGCACGGAATCACAACATGAACTGCTGAACTGCTGGCAGCCGGCAGTAGTAGCCTGCAGTTCTGCACTCTAACCCAGGGGTCCCCAAACCCCGGTCCATGGACCAGTACCGGGCTGCAGCATGCCAGCAACCGGTCCACACAAACAAGCAAAGCCCCATCCGCGGGATGCAGGCAGACCACAAAACCACACACCCTCCAGTCCGCAGAAAAACCTCTCTCCACGGAACCAATCCCTGGTGCCCAAAAGGTTGGGGACCTCTGCTCTAACCACTGTGCTTCGAACTGGGTTCAACTCCCGGTGACTTCATGAACACAACTATGTGGAGCTTTCTGGCTGGAAGGAATCTTCTTCTGAGACACCTTTCAACTTCTCAGTGGCAATCTCCACCTTGGATATCCAAATGAAGTCCAAGATTACTTTCGTTGCTGCAAAACGTACTGGTTTATTGAATATACGGCTTGACATGGGTGAAGGAGTGTGCATTCAGCTGATTCTCTGAACTCAGCAAAATTTAGCTACCGGTTCTGCCGAACTGGTGCGAACCAGCTGAATCCCACCACTGAGTCCAGGTGACAGCAGTTGGCTTCCTGTGTGATGTTTTTCTAAGTTCTAACCAGGCCCGGTTAGAACTTCCTTCCTTCAACTTCTTGAGATCATGCAAGGTCAACTAATCAACTAGGTTGAACATGAAAAGAGCTACCTAAATTGGCGAACGTCTCTTCCGCACTTGATGAAGACATGTCCGGCGTGGATCCGTCCACTCTACGGTCCCCGGTTCATCAGCAGCAGCCTTGTTCTCAGCTCTTAACAAAATGAATGTATTTGTCTCACTGCCATGTGCGTCATCAAAGTAGCTCCTTCAGGCCTTATTAAGTTTATGCCTCTCCATCAAAAATCTTTCTTCTCTGAATCATCCCATTTTTTGAAAAATTGCAGGCAATTAGGTCTGAATTCACCTGAATAGGACTTCCAATTCCCTGTAATTGATTAAGCTTTGTCATTTCTCTTCTACTAGCCATTGCTCTTCCCGCTGTGTGCCTCAATTGCATGCAGCGGGCCTATCTTGAAGATGCCATCAATGTTGCTGGCTTCTCTAGATCATCAAGTGCAGAATGCCATGCCATGTCCTTTTCTTTTTGTCCCTTCCTTCCTTCCTTCTTTCCTTCCTTCTTTCCTTCCTTCCTTCCTTCTTTCCTTCCTTCCTTCCTTCTTTCCTTCTTTCCTTCTTTCCTTCCTTCCTTCCTTCTTTCCTTCTTTCCTTCCTTCTTTCCTTCCTTCCTTCCTTCCACTTATATAGCTAGATTCATTTCTTTCTGATTCCTTCCTTCCTGATTCCTTCCTTCCTTCCCTCCTTCTTTCCTTCCTTCCTTCTTTTCATATAACTAGACTCCTTCCTTCCTGATTCCTTCTTTCCTTCCTCCCTCCCTCCCTTCCTTTCATATAGCTAGAGTCCTTCCTTCCTTCGTTCCTTCCTTCCTTCCTTTTCTTCCGTTCTTCCTTCCTTCCTTTTATATAGCTAGATTCATTTCTTTCTGATTCCTTCATTCCTTGCTTCCTTGCTTCCTTCCATATAGTTAGATTCATTTCTGATTCCTTCCTTCCTTCCCTCCTTCTTTCCTTCCTTCCTTCTTTTCATATAACTAAATTCCTTCTTTCCTGATTCCTTCCTTCCTCCCTCCCTCCCTCCCTTCCTTTCATATAGCTAAATTCCTTCCTTCCTTTTTCCTTCCTTCCTTCCATCCTTCCTTCCTTCCTTCCTTCCTTCCTTTTATAAGGCAGTCCAACTTGCAATTTTTGGGTGGCAAATACCAACCAGCACAAAAAAAGAACCAAGGAACACAAAAACACAACACCGTTCAACACACCTGAGGTCAAACTGCAAGGCTACGCTATATATATAGACAAATCATGAAAGAAAACTCTTGTGTGTGGTTTTTTTTATCACATCCCTTTGATCTAAGGTGGAGAAGACCTGCCCATCCATATTAACCATTTTGAAAACTAACCTTTGTACCAATCCGAGATATATATTGTGGTGTCTGTGGGTGGGTGGATGTACTTATATATTGTATGTACTGTACATTGATGCGTGTACCTAAGTATGTTTGTACACACACACACACACACACACACACACATACAAATAGGCCATCCGTTCCATCTGCCTAGGATATGTTCCCAAGCACTTGTCTTACCACTCTATTGCTATAAGCATTTCCTCAAAACCACTGGCTGAACGAACCGTATTTCAACATTCTGCTACCCCAGCGTCATTTTTTGTAAATACACGATCAGTCCATTTTTCCCGGTACCCCTAACAATCACTTCAAATTCTGTGGCCATCAGGAAAAAAATACAATTGCAGAGGTTCACCTGGTTGTTCTTGCAAATCCACACGCTGTTCCCTTGCAGCAGAGTAAAGATTTTGGCTTTATAGCCTTTCAATTCTAGATAGCCGCTTTTCTCGGGAGGAACGGCTGTCCGCGCTCGAGAAATTGCCGGGAGGGCGCGCAGAGCAGTGAAGATGGCGGTTACCCAGTTGTTTCGTTCTTCTAAAAATAAACACACAAAAAAGTCACCCTGCTAGGCACCCAGGCAGACCGCCACCCACCCACCCACCCATACACCATGTCATGGTTCCGACAGATGAAACTCTTCAAAGAACTTTGAGGCCTTAAAGAATCCTTATTTGAGTAACATAGCATCAGCGTGTACATAGCCAAAGCCAAAATCTGAATTCCCCTCCCCTGAGCACATAGTACTAAAGCACAATTCCCTCCTCCAATTAACTGTCATAAATCACATTCTCCAATTAGTTTGAAATGCAGGCTTTCCCGCTAGTTCTCCAACCCGCCATTTCTTATCATCTCTTATTTCAAAAAACCTTGGTTCACACACTAGTTACAATATTGTTATGTCTAACTAAACTCCCACGCACAGTCCTCCTCCTCCCTGCCAGTATCATCTAATTCTAACTCTAATTCTAAGAGTAAAACATAAGAAGGAAAATGGCTGCATCTCCATATGTTGTCAAAGCAAAAACATCCGATGTTAGCAGTGTTGACACACACCCTTATTTAACTACAGGTAACAGTTTTCACAGCTGTCCTTCTATTTCTATACTTCACGGCTTCCCGTCAGACATGCAGGGGCCGTGTTCATAATACAGGCAAGTCCTCGGCTTACGCCCACAATGGAGCCCAACTTTTCTGTTCCTAAGCGAGACATTTGTGAAGTGGGTTTTCTCCCAACATTTTATGACCTTTCTTTTGAATCGCTGCAGTTGTGAAGTCGTTAAGTGAATCTGTCTTTCCCCCATTGGCCTTGCTCCTCAGAAGGTTGCAAAAGGGGATCACGGGACCCCAGGACACGGCAACCGGCGTAAATATGAACCCGTGGCCAAGCGTCCGAATTTTGATCGTGTGACCACAAGGATGCTGCAATGGTCATCAGTCACTTTTTTCAGTGCCGTTGTAACTTCAAAGAGTCACTAAACAAAATGTTGTAAGTTGAGGACTAATCAATCAATCAGAATAAAGCTGGAAGGTACCTTGGAGGTCTTCTAGTCCAACCCCCTGCTCAAGCAGGAGATCCTATATCCTTTCAGACAAGTGGCTGTCCAGTCTCTTCTTAAAAACTTCCAGTGTTGGAGCATCCCACAACTTCTGGAGGCAGGTTGTTCCACTGGTTAATTGTTCTGTCAGGAAGTTTCTCCTTAGTTCCAGGTTGCTTCTCTCCTTGATTAGTTTCCACCCGTTGCTTCTTGTCCTGCCTTCAGGCGCTTTGGAGAATAGCTTGACTCCCTCTTCTTTGGGGCAACCCCTGAGAGATTGGAAGACTGCTATCAGGTTACCCCTGGTCCTTCTTTTCTCTAGACATCTGCTTTCATAAATTGACAGATCCCATCTAAAAAATAAATTACGGTATTCCTCGACTTACAACCATTCATTTAGTGACCGAAGTTACAACGGTCCTGAAAAAAGAGACTTATGACCGTTTTCACACTTACGACCATTGCAGCATTCGCCCGTGGTCACGTGATTGAAATTCAGATGCTTGACTCACATTTACGACGGTCATGGTGTCCCGCAGAGTCACATGATCCCTTTTGCGACCTTCTGGCAAGCAAAGTCAATGGGGAAGCCGGATTCACTTAACGACCAAGTTACTAACTTAACAAGTGCAGCGATTCACTTAGCAACTGTGGAAAGAAAGGTCGTAAAACGGGGCAAAATTCACTTAAGAAATGTCTTTGCTTAGCAATGGAAGTTTCTGGCTAAAACGAGGTCGTAATTCGAGCGTTGCCCGTATTGCGGGGGGGAGGAATAACGTAGCCTTCCTTTCTGATAAAGGCGGCGAGTGGATCTGTGTGTTTGTGCAAAAGCAGCCTGGAATCCCAAATCAGGTTTTTTTGATCCTTACATTCAAGCTAGCAACTTCTCGTTACTCTTTGTCGGCTTCACACCGAAGGCAGCTTCACAGCAGATGGCCAATACCACAGCTTTAAGTGGTGCTAATATGTGCTAAAGAAGGGCCACTTAATCCTGTGACATGAAAGTCCTTGAAAACGCAGTTATTTTGGTCTCGATACGTGATTTTATCCTATAAGGTACACAAGCTCCTCGAATATCTCAGATTTTTTTCTGGGCGATGATATCCACCGATCAGGATCGAATTTAGTGCGGAATAGAACATAGGCCAGTGGTGGCGAACCTATGGCACGCATGCCAGAGGTGGCACTTGGAGCTGTCTATGTGGGCACACATGCCGTTGCCCCAGCCTCGCCTCCCCCCACGACCCCCTCCTCACCAGCAGCCCCCCTGGAGGAGAGTCGCCCCCGAGCGTGGCCCACGCGAAGCAGCACAGCCAAGGACATGGCAGCCAGGCCGCGTAGAAAAGACTCTGCTCTTACGCCCCATCGCGCACAGTTGATACTGCGGGGGGGTCAGAGGGTGTGGCCACCATGGCGCTGCTGGGCTGCCTGGGCGATCTGCGAGGGGCCCTGGAGGCGGTGAGTGGCCCTGCGGGCAGGCGGAGCAGGGGATGGGGTGGGGGCAGAGCAGGGGCAGGGGGTAGAATGTGGACGGGGCCAGTTTTGGGGCACTCAGTCTCTAAAAGGTTCGTCATCACTGACATAGGCTAACAGAGCTGGAAGGGACCTTGGAGATCTTCTAGTCCAATCCTCTGCTCACAGGAGGAACTGTCAGATTTACAGCATTAAAGAAAACACGGGCATCTCTATTAAAGGAAACCCATGTATACAATTCTCTTCATTTATTCCTCTGGCTGCTGCTGTTGAAAATATCAACGTCATGCTACACAATTCTAAAAGGTTCTGCTTTTTCTGTCCCCGGAGTCACCCGGAGACCCTGAATTTGGCACCCCCTGCTCTGAAGGGGAAAAAAAAGAACCAAATTCTCTGCAGCCAGAAACCTATCCTCAGAAATCTATCAATCGATCAGAATAGAGCCGGATGGGACCCCGGAGGTCTTCCAGTCCAATCCCCTGCTCAAGCAGGAAACCCTACACCATTTCAGACAAATGGTGGTCCAATCTCATCTCAGAAACGTCCAGCGTTGAAGAACCCACAACTTCTGGAGGCGACGACCATTCTGCTGGTTGGTTGTTCCAGCCCAACCGAAGGACCCGCGAGACCATCGTCCCCACCATCCCCACCCTGGCCGGGAACGAGCCTCACCTTCCTTCTCAGCCCTGAAGACGAATATTCTGTGCGCTGTCACCACTTCAAACTTGTTGTCTCCGTGCATTCGGACGGTAGCTATCGCCGAGAGAAGAATTATGCCCTTGGAGTAAATGTCCTAGATCGAAAGTAAGAGAAAAGCTGGTTCGCATACAAGGGTCCCTTTGACAAAACGCAAAAGTCTGCCCGTTCCTAGACAAGCTACTGCACATTCCGCTATCAAGGATCAATAAACGGAATGATTGCATACAGGTAGTCATCAGTTTACGACCACAATTGAGCCCAACATTTACCTTGCTAAGGGAGGTATTTGTTAAGTGAGTTTTGTCCTATTTGACAACCTTTCTTCTCGCAGTTGTCACATGAAACACAGACGTTCTTAAGTTAGTAACACCGTTGTTAAGTGAAACCAGCTTCCCCACTGACTTTGCTCATCAGAAGGTCCCCCTGGGGGGATGCTGCGACCGTGATAAACACGAGTCAGTGGCCAAGCATCTGAATTTTGATCATGCGACCATGGGGGGGAGGCGGCAATGGTTGTAAGTGTGGAAAAACAGTCGTAAGTCCCTTTTTTCCAGCCATGTTGTAACTTTGAAGGGACAATAAATGAAACTGTTGTAAGTCCAGGACTTTCTGACCAGGAAATGCTACAAAGATTCCAACAATGAGAGTGTTTTATTTCCTGGAGGTGTTTGTACAGTTGCACAAAACATTGCCTGCAATATTTCTCGTTGGTTAAAAAAACAGCTGCATGCTTAAATTCAATCACATTTTGATATGCTCGTTTTTTTGAGATGCAATCAGGTGGCTACAGAGGAAATTTCTATCCATTTCATCACAATGATCTAACTCTGTTGCAAAATTCATGGCTGTTCTTATTTTTTTTTTCCATCCAGAAATTATATCCTGGCATCTACAGGCATCTACTGACTAGATAAGATATTGCAGCCACTGTCTATTTACTAGCACCACCGCTGTGTTCTTTTCCTTTTACCGGCTCCTAAATCCTCCATTCTTTAAAAAAAAAAAAAAAAAAAAAAGCAGCTTCTATCCAAAAATGAA